GGTGATTCAAACTCAAGTCATGGGTTATTGGTCATCTGATGGGCTCCTTTATAAGTGAACTTCATTTTGCTTTTTATTTATTTTTTATAACAGTTTGTGGGTTTAAATACATTTTATTTTCTTGTGATCTGGTGCTTTGTCCCAGAATGATATAAACTTCAGATTTTGCTTGCTCACTCTTACATCATTCCTTTTCTTGGCATCGTATACATTGAGCCAACTTGGAGCACTATTGGAAACTTATGTTTTTTCTAATATCCTATAATATGCGGTGTCATCTAGAGGACTCATATTCTAAGAGCTGAAGTTAAAATTTGACAGCATGCCTCTGAGATCATTTGACAAATTAATCATCTTGGTACACATTGTCGAACCTCTTTCTCCATCAAGAAATAACTACTGTTAATTCCCCATTGGGCTCTCGTCTACTTGATTATTATGGGGGACCATTAGTGCTGATGAGGTCTTCATGTTCTTGGCAAAATTCCCACCCTCTGTCCTTACACAAATAGAAAGACAGTCCATATCTATACTTGATACACATATACTTAACCAAAGAAGCAAAGCACCTCTATACATATTCTCCTACTTTCTAAAATTATTTTAAAAAGTAGTCATACCTGTTACATTTGCCTTTCTTTTGTACACCACCTTTCATGTAGTTTTAATTTAACTCTCTCTCTTGTATGTTCGTGACAGAAGTCTGTTACCTTGGGAAATTTGACTGTATACCCTTAATACAGTTTACCACTTAAATTAGCTTATCAAACCCTTTTCGTATGTTAATACACCAAGTAAATGTAAATTCAGATCAGAATTCTATCTTGGGAATGTGATTTGCTCCTCTGAGTTACATTTTGATATACGTACGGCTTGGAACAGTGGTGAATTTGGAAAGTAAGTAATTTAGACCATTACTGCCTTCGCAGTTCTCTTATTTTGTTTAACATTCCTGAACTCCAAGACAACTTCTATAGTTGGCAGCAGGACACGTAGGCACCGACCAGGACAATGCACTGCACAGGGTCACACGAGTCATGAAGCCCTGAAACCCCTCGGAGCTGAATAATGGGAAATCTCATAAAATTTCTCATGTGCTTGCAACTTACTCCCGTTTGGTCGAATGAGGAAACTTTTTATTTTCATTATAGGAAAAATTATCTTATAATTTTCAGAGAAAGGGATTTTAACAGAGAGAGGAAGCATCAGGGGAGTATGCCACTTACGTCTTTACCCCTCCATCAGCAATGATGGTCTAACTCATGACCTATTCCTGCTTCAGGGCCCCTCTCCTCTGTCTGTGGTTTGAGATTACTGCACCGTCGGCAGAAGCGGATCATTGGTGGGAAAAATTCTTTAAGGTAAAAAGTTCCTCAAAGGAGATTTTCCATGTTAAAGAATTATTTATATCCCGGGCTGAGCGCGGTGGCTCACACCTGTAATCCTAGCTCTCTGGGAGGCCGAGGCGGGCGGATTGTTTGAGCTCAGGAGTTCGATGCCACTTACGTCTTTACCCCTCCATCAGCAAT